TTTTATTTTTTTTACCATTTTTAAAAGCTTATTTATTTTATTTGGTGGGGGGGGTGGGGGGGGGGAGGGAAGGGCCAGAGGATCTGAAGCGGGCTCCGTGCTGACAGCAGAGAGCCCGATGCAGGGCTCAAACTCATGAACCACAAAATTATGACCTGAGCCAAAGCTGGACACTTAACCAAATGAGCCACCCAGGCTCTCCCTTCAAAACAAAATTTTAACTCATTTTAGTTTTTGGAACTTCAAAACAATTTGGACGATGGGGGAAAGTAATGTTTTTTAAATCAAATGAACACATTAATAAAACCAGGGTGAAGTGGGGGATGCCTCTTACAAAGTGGGGATTCTCCACCTTGGAATGAAAATCTAGCATTAAAGCATGCATCTCCAAGTCGGAAAGAGCAAGCAGTCAGCAAACATCCTTCTCCCCGCCCCAGGAACAAGGCAGCCCCCTGGCCAATCTCTCCAGTGATAGCACAGAAGTAGATCCCGTCAAGGTCCTTTCTCCAGTTTCCATACAGAAAGGGAAGCCTTATGAGAAGCATATGTGGCACCTGGGGGAAGACTGTACTTGAGAAGATGTTATTTTTTTAATTTATGTATTTTGAGAGAGAGAGACAGAGAGAGAGAGAATATGAATCTCAAGCAAGTTCTGTGCTGTCAGCATAGAGTCCAACGTAGGACTCAATCCCACAAACCATGAGATCATGACCTGAGCCGAAATCAAGAGACAGATGTTAAACCGACTGAGTCACCCAGGCACCCTGAAACTTTATTTATAAGATGTTGAGTATTGAGAATTATGAACCCTGGAAAAAGAAGCATTTAGTGGGAGCTTAAAGTTTACAAGAATTTCCAGTAGTAATTCAGGTGATTTTCACCCCATTTATTCATGCTCCACATAAGCTCTGTGGCCAAAGAGACCGTCCAGAAAGCCATTTATAAATGCAACTGCTTAAAGTGAGAGTCATTCAGGCTCTGTCCCTTTGCCCAGGAAGAGCAGCCTCAGTGCTAGGTATCACAGCTTGCCAGAGAAAAGGATGTATGTAAGGAGTATACCAGCCTCTGCACAGAAAACCCCTTTTCACAGCTATGTCAATTTTCTTTTACTGTTGTCAACGCTAAAAGGATCCAGACAGCCATTCTCTCAATGAATGACAGTTCAGACTGCAGGTTCTTTTAAAGGTAAGAATAAAGATCCCTGCAGATGAAGAATTCTTGAGGCTGGCATATTGTAACCAAAGAGTAGACTACAGTCACAAGTGCAAGTAACAGGGTATATTCTCCATGCAATACCTACAGATTCATATTTATCATACATTATACTACCTAACACAGAAATATCTACATCAAGAAAAAGATCATGACATAAATAGCCTACATTGTCTGTATTTGGTCAGAATTAGTTCTATTCCCCAACATGAATATGTAACAGATCACAGCATTCAAATATTAGTTCAACAAGTATCAAAGATTTGCTCCTTTTGGAAAGCAGCCTAAATATAAATTCTAAATGGCCTCCAGCACTAGATCCTGCTGTTTTCACACTAGTATACCACTGTTTCTTTTTAGTTCTGGATCATCACGTATCTCTTACTAGGGCCACTTTGTGGAAAGAATATTAGAATGCGGAAACATTCTTTCTTGATGTTTTCCATTCTTTATCTCCAAGTAGTTTAAAACTAAATACTGGGCTGTTCCCTAATGGGGTCTCCAAATGTCAAAAGGTGAAGATGAATGAAGGAGCTTGTGAACTTAGGCATCTTTTGACCTCAAAACTACAGTGAGGTCAAGGCTGCTTTCCCACTGAGAGGAGACCCACGTCAGATACAGGAGGGCTCCATGGAAGCTCAGCGTTGCAACCACCACACTAGCTCACAGACAACTCCACTGCCAATTTCAAAGTATGTGCACCATGCTTTATAGAGAAGAAAGTGCCCTTCACATCCCAGTAGCTGGCACTCGTAAAAAGGTATCGTTCTTTTTTCTTTTCCAGATAGACCCACAGATCAAAGGATTTTACACATAGTCTAAGATGAATGACGTGTGTGTGAAACACCCAGCCCTCCAGAGAAGCACCTCTCCACGGCTCTCCAGAAGGACTGTCAACTGGACAGAGCCGTTCCGTTTACTCCACAACTACACAACTGCAATTTAGGGCCACGTGGCCCTCAGTTTAGGCAGGAAAGGAGTTTGGAGAACACCATGGCGACTTGTTTAAAAAAAAAAAAAAAAAAAGCCAAACCAAGAAAGCTATTCTAGAACAACTCTTGGGAAGCTGGGGTACTTCATTTGGGAGAAGAGAGGTCTGAGGTTGTGACTTCAGGCCTGTTCTGTGAATTTAAGAGTCTTCAATAATGTGATAGACACAAGATAAGTTTAAAGGTAAATATACTTCAGGTCACATGTGCTCCTGGCAGTTTAGAAGAACAACTCATTCCAAAGCAATATGGAAATCCTACACCTAGAAACCAGACTCCCTCAAAGACCCCACCGTCTTTAGGATGCTTTTTCTCTTGCTCTGATCACATTGAGCTAGTTTACTTTCAGGACATTTTTGGTGGCTTTTCATTTTTAAATGAAGAAATATCTTCTCAAAAGAAACTCCCCAAAATGTTGTGAGAAAAAGGTGACTAAACGATCCTAAAGCTCCATTAGGGCATAATAAAATGCATTATCCCAAAAGTGGTTATTTATTATTCAAATAATAATTCATTAAACATGTTTTTAAAATGTAAGTATTTAAATCTCCCTTAAAATATTTTTATACAATCTTTTAGAATTATACATATACAAGAAAGGTCTGCTATTCAACTAAAAAGAAAACCTACACTTGAAAAATTACACAAAAATTGATACTACATTTTCTCCTGAACTCTTTTCAACAAATTAGAAAGTGGGTCTCCTTTACAACTCTACCAAAATTAAAATTTACTTGTGTCATTAGAAGCCACAATCACATTCCACTTCTTAAAGGAAAACAAACTATCTATTCTTCTAAAAGCCAAATGTCTCTATTTCTCAAGGCAAAATCTTCACAGTCTGAGTTCTGGTACTGAACTGGCTGACATGCAAGTGTGTCACCCTATTTAGCTTCCATTACAGTCTTTTTACCATCTCAAGGGCTATTGAATGACTGAAAACAGATGTCTGAGTCCCATTAGGGGCCCGCTTATGCCTGGGAAAGCTGAGAAGCTGCAGCACCGCAACACTCTTGACACTCCTCTTTCTACAACTACCCCGTGAGCTGCAGTGAGTTCACCATAGGGGACCCTTGTAATTCCTTCACCAGGGCAGAGGGTTAAACAAGGCTCCGGGTTTTTATGGCTTTGAATCGCATTTCCCTTTTACACCATTTAAAGAAGGGTGTAAGGAGCTTACTGAGGTTTTTTAAAAAGAGGAGCTGGGGCACAGAACAGACAGAGCTCTTGAACATGGGTAGGGTCTGGAGGCACAAACCTGTCAGCAGAATACCCCAGTGCTCATGTTACTTCTTAAGGAGAGTTTTGGGGCAAGCTTGTGTATTTCTGCTATGCTGGCTTCAGTTCAGAGCACTTCCTATTTTTTTCTACTTAGAGGAAAATTAGGGAAAACTATCATGGTTCAAGCCATTCAGGAAATATGGATTTTGGGTCCAGCTGTGTGACCTTCAGCAAACTACTTAGCCTTTCTGGGCTCTGTGCTTACTCTTCTATCAATCAGTATGTTTACCTAATTACACCATACATATTTCAGCCCACTGCAGTTTTACAAGCACTTCCATATACTTCGGTGCATTTGATGCTTAGAATAACCCTGTGAGAGGTAACAAAGGGGCTATTCTACTCATTTTTATAAGAGTGGAAATTGAGGCTCAGAAGCTAAGTGGCACACCCCTGATAGTGGCCAGCAACTAGCAGAAGTGAAACTGAACCCTTGATTTCTGATTTTAATAAAATGCTTTTCTTACCACATCATGTTATATGATCCTTCTGGTTCCAACAGTATTAAAATGCCACAATTTAAAAAAATCTCTTCCCCCTTTTGCAATTCACGTCACTGTTAGGAACCTGACCTCACTTACACGTTGAGGAACAAGAAGCACATGACCAAGTGCTCTCTTTCTCATTCACATAAAAACGGTTTCCAATGTAATCTTTTGCTCTCTAAATGCTTGTATGCTGAACGCTAACTCATAAACATGATTAGTCCTATGGTGAAGAATCTAACAGATCTTGTTTTTTTTTTTTTTAATGTTTGCTTTTGAGAGAGACAGAGTGCAAACAGGGGAGGGGCAGAGAGAGAGAGGGAGACACAGAATCCGAAGCAGGCTCCAGGCTCTGAGTTGTCAGCACAGAGCCCGACATGGGGCTCGAACTCACAGACCTCAGTGAGATCATGACCTGAGCTGAAGTCAGATGCTTAACCGACTGAGCCACCCAGGCACGCCTAACAGATCTTGCTTTTGGTGGAAATACTCATGCATGAAAGAGTCCAGAATATATATTCTACAGTTAAATTAGAAGTACCTGTGAATTGTTACTTCACTGGAAAAAGATGAAGAAACCATAACATGGAAGATCGACAAAGGTGGTGTTGGACCTGAGCATCTAAGAATGTCTTCTGGCTGGGTCCTTAATCTTGAAGTTTGTGTAACCTAAGGTCTCCCTTCCTCCCCCCTTTCCATTCTATCCTCATCCATCCATCAAGTAGGGAGACCTGTATCATAGGTAAGCGAGGATGACTAGATACAAAAAAAGAAAAAAAGAATAGAATGAAATATCTGAATATGTGTATGTTCTTTTTACTAGCAGTAAAATTCCTGAGCTGTCAGCAAACTGCGGAGAGGGGCACCTGATGGCCCTGACTTGGAGGTGAACAGGTTGGGAGCCATGTACCGTGTACCACTGCTCCATGGTTCTCGATTTCTCAATGTGGAGTAAAGTTCAAAGTAAATAAAAGTCAGCCTCCCCCCAATTAACCACACTTTGTTATTAAATGCCATAGCATTGGGCACTGACCTGCTTTGCCCACTTCCCCTTTCCTCAGTGATCCTTCAGCCTGGCACCCAGCTCTGAGATGAGGCCTGCTTAGCACCAGTGAAGTTCCCCACGTTCAAACCAACAACATTCTGTGTGGAGATGAGGGAATCAAAATTAAAATCCAACCCATCGGCATCCATGAGTTCACTACGGATAATGGACTCCATGTCGCACTCCAAGCTCCCATTGAACATGTCCAGGTCCAAGTCGCTGGGGAACTTCTCGTGGCCCACGACGGGAAGGTTTGCACTAGCTGAGTACAAGGAGGAGCCTGAGAGAGAGTCTGAGAGGGTTTGCATAGACTGGCTGACAGGAGATTGTTGCTGGTGTTTGACTGACCCAAGGCTGCTGGAGTCGCTCAAGCCCATGTTGCTGACAGAATTCGACAAGGCACGGCTGCCACCGAGAGCGCCCTGGGTTTGGTGCTGGTGGTGGAGCAAGTTCTGATTGACCAAACTCCCCTGGTTAGGCTGGGCAGCAAAGGACATCATTGGGTCATTTCGAAGCATCACGTTCCGGCGGGAGTTCTGGGCAGACACAGCGGTGCTGGCCTGAGACATCAAGGGGTCTGACTGGGTCATCATGACATCGCTGTGGCTGAGTGAGTCTGAAGTGAGCAGGTCCTGGAGTGTCTGGTTGCCATAGTGTGACATGGAAGAGAAGGTAGCTGGCTTGTTCTCTTGGATGGTCTGCATGGGAGACTGGCGCAGGGAATTCAGAGATGAGGGTCCAAACACCGTGCTATTGAAGGAGCTGGTTGGAGAGCCCAGGCCGGAGCCCTTGGCGGTGTATGGGAAGCTAGAGCTCCGCTGCATGAGCCCTCCGGTGGGCGATGGCTGGGACGATGGGAGTGTGATGTTATCCAGCAGGTCATCCATGAGGTTGTCAGAGAGCCCATCATTCAGATTCATGGTGCCCGCCATGTCGGTCAGCCGTGGTAGCTCCACGGTGCATGGCTTACTTACAGAGGGTGACAGGCTAGCTGAGCTGCTGTAGAGCATGGGGGAGAGCGGTGCATCATCATCCTGGACGTCATCCAACTCCGTGCTTGCCAAGATGGGTGACAGGCGGCCACTGACCGTGCTGGCATTGGAATTGGTGCGTGAGCGGAAGTCGGTCCACGCATCCAGCTCGTCACTGCTGCGTGACGTGGGGCTGCCAGGCCACTTGGAGAGCTGGGAGGGACTGTCATCTGCTGACTCGGGGGCTGTCTGCAGGGCTGCCTTCTTCTTGGCTGCACGGCCACGACTCTTGGTATACTTGTTGCTGTTGTCCATGGAGACAGCCCGCCGCCGGGGTGCCTTCCCGCTCTTCCCCCCATCAGGGTTGATGATCCACCAAGAGCTCTTGCCAGTCCCCTCATTCTGGACCCGCATGAAACGGCTGTGCAGTGACAGGTTGTGCCGAATAGAGTTCTGTGGAGAGAATGGAAAATGCAGAATATGAGACAAAATGGACCAAAACTAAGCAGCCAGAAGTAGTCAATCAGACTTATGTTTAAAAGCCTCCTTAGTTTTTGGAGGATTAAAAAGAAAAACAAAAAAAAGATAAACATTTGTATGATATGCTCCCCACCCAGCTCGGAACAATGACAACATTGTAAATGGCCAATTGTGGTATTTAGGAGGTGGGAGATGGTTTCATATCCAGGAGATGCTGGAAATGTATATGCTCAATGACACTGTTTTCCCCAAATTCCTAAGTTTTGTTGTCCTTTTCTAGAATACTATTTCCTACACTGAAGTTCACACTTATATAATTTTATTACCACAGCACTCTTCCATTTTGCAACAAATCTCCCTGGCTCTCTAAGGGTAATTAATCACTCAAGGGGCTACTCTATTTTCTTATGGTTCCCTCCTCCACTAGTATAAAGGCAGCATCTACCTTTTCTTAATCACTACTATAAACTCAACTGGTGTGAATTGTTACCTATCCTTTCTATAACTCCATCTCTTCCTGCCATAATTTCATACCTGTCTGCCAGGTATAAGAAAAAAAAATGGTGGGGTGCTTGTGTGGCTCCGTGGGTTAAGCATCCAACTCTTGATTTCAGCTCAGGTCATGATCTCATGGTTCATGAGATCGAGCTCCATGTCGGGCTCTGAGCTGACGGTGTGGAGCCTGCTTGGGATATTCTCTCTCTCTCTCTCTCTCTTTCTCTTTCTCTCCCTCTGCCCCTTCTGTGCTCACACTCTCGTTCTCTCTCAAAATAAACATTAAAAAAAAAAAAAAAAAAAGAAGAAAATGGTAGAGTAAAATTTGCTGAGTTGACAGAAATAGGCAAGTTGCCCATTCAGAACAATTTCAAGTAATTTATATAGATATTTCCCTTCCAGGCAATGCAGTCTGAGCATAGTAACTTCCTTCCAAAGAGTTAAGTCTGGAAAGGAGGGAAAAAGTAACTTGACAGTAGAGAAACAAACACTATCTCAGGTGATCGAGGTCAACATCAATAGGGCTAAGTCATGTTGATAATATGTACTCTTGATATGATACGATGAAAATGGTACCCTCTTTTGTAGTCTTCCTTCTAAAAACCGTCACCCCAGTCTAACTATGAGAAAAACATCAGACAAATACCAATTAAGGGACATTTAAAAAATGTCTGTTGCATACTTTTCCCAACTGTCAGACCCACAAGGAATCTAAGGAAGAACGATGATTAAATGTAACGTAGCAACCTGGACAGGATGCTGGAACAGAAAAAGGACATTAGGTAAAAATGAGGGAGATCTGAATAACGTATGGACTTCAGTTCATAATAAGGTATTAATATTAGTTCATTAGTTGTGGCAAATGTACTAAACTTTAAGGTAAGATGTTAACAACGGGAAACTTGATGTTGGGATATGAGAACTCTGCAGTAGTTTTCCAACTTTTCTGTACATTTAAAACTATTTCATATTAAAGGATTAAAAAAAAAGAGTAAAATATCTTTAAAATCCTAACAACTGCAGCCATCTTGCAAGATCTTCCTCTCAGCTTGGTAGATAAGCTTGGTTGGCTGGGATGACCTAGATCCAGTCCTATCTCTGCAATGATCAACCATGTGACCTTGAGCAAATCATTTAATCTGTCTGCAACAACTTCACTTCTCTATCTTCATTATAGCCATAACAACATCCAAACCATCCCTCCCTGACAGGGATGATGTAAGAATGATATATGGTAATATGCTTTAGGAACTGATCACTCTACCAAGTCAGGGTGTTCTTATTGCTATTATAAAACACAGAGTCCATGGTGGGGAGAGCTCATCACCTGATGCGGGCTCATTCTAGTCTATAAAATGCCTCATGTGCAGTAAAAGAGAGGAGTTGATGGTCTTCTCCACATCTGGAACAGAAACTACAGGACAGATGAGTTTTTACTCACAAGTTAAAGACAAAAAGTATTGCCTTGTGCAGTATATGAAATACAAACAATCCTAGAAGTTCCCATAGTTTTTAAAAAATTGGCAATCACCACTGTATTTATGTAGAAGATACAAATACATGTGTTCTACCAGAATGTTTTTAGAACGCAGAAAGTGGGCAGGATTTTACCATAAGTAACTCAAAATACTCAGTGATTCCCATGTATGTGTTCCTATGTAAGGAGGGCCTGCAGTTCATGGAGGAGGGCAATGAACATGAACAACCACGGGTCATAAGTTGACATTTCTATGATATGCCCATAAAGACACAGTTGAGAGAAAAAAACAGGCAACATAGTGAGTATCTGATAAGACGAATGTTGCCCAGGAGACTATATACTCTGATTCCCTTTTACTCTTCTGGTTTTTAAAAGAATAATGGAAACCAATTTGACAATAAATTTCATATTAAAAAATAAAATAAATAAATAAATAAATAAATAAATAAATAAATAAATAAAATAATGGCATGTCTACTAATGGTTCAGAAATTATATTTCTTTAAAAAGTAAAACCCTTTATAAAACAGATTCAAAGCACATTCTTAAAATTCACTCTGTAGGGTTCAAAAAGGCAGGTGCAAGGTGGTTCTACTATCTGAGTACTCAAATGACTAGATATATTAAATAAAAAACTTAAACTTCTTGGTGAAAACAGGAAAGTTCTGAAGCTATATGGGAGCAATGTGGAACCCTGGCCAGGCCCCTTTGCTCTAAGTTTTGGAATGAGTTCATATAACACCTAGGATTAATAATGACCAATCTTAAGTATCCTGTTATCCCCTCTTTAAAAAGCACTTGAGGGGGAGGGAGTGTGCCTGGATGGCTTAGTCTGTAACATCAGACTCTTGATTTCGACTGAGGTCATGATCTCATGGTTCCGGAGTTTGACCCCGACATGGGCTGCTATCAGCACAGAGTCTGCTTGGGATTCTTTCTTTCTCCCTCTCTCTCTGCCCCTTCGCCATTCACAGGTGCATTCTCTCTGAAAATAAATAAACTTAAAAAAAAAAAAAAAAGCTCTTAGAGAATAGTATTTTTTAAATGTATTTTTATTTTCACCAATTCCAAACCAACTACAAAAAAAAAGGAACACTTTACAGAATTCCAAAATGCCCTACATGAACTTTCTAATAGTCATCTATTACTACAACTCTAAACTTCAACAATGTATATGTATAATTTAACAAAATTTCAAGCTACAATTGGCTAAAATTTGGAGACAGAAATTAAGCTTCTGTAAGGACATGTGGTAAAGGGGCTGGAATACCCACATTTAGGACCAGAAGCACAGGACAAGATGTCAGGGCCCAGAGCCCTGATCTCAAGGGTGAAGAAATGAGAACCTGCCTAATTAGAGCACTGCCAGTTACTGAGCCATAGCTTTTAAATTCATGGTCTCTAATCCTTATAATAAACCTGCAAAGTTGGTATCAGTGCTCTCATCATCTATATGAGGGCTCAGGCTGAGAGATATTAAATAACTTACACCAGGGTCACACTGCCTATATAACCCAAAGTGAAATTTGTTTTCCGTACTCAAATCCAATGCTTTTACTATATAACCTTTCACAGGTTTGTCACCAAATTATTTAGAAGTCATCGTTTAACCTATTTCTGTTAACATTTTAAAGAAACATTTAATAAAGAACAAGGATATAAAAGCACAACTTTATTACTGTAATTCTGTTTATGAAATAGGGATAATAATTTGATGGGTCTTTCCTAAATTAAAAATAAACCTTTTTTTAAAGAAAGTCTTTCAGAAGAACTGACAAGAAAGTGAAGGCTCACACAGCCCATGTTTGTGTTTCTTTACTAAGGAGGCCATGATAGCATTCCTTCTAGGGAGAGGGCAATGGTCACCACACCAACCAATGTTAACTGTCCTTAGGTTCTGAAACAAAACCTGACTTATTAAATCGGTGACTAGCTTCAGTTTCCACTCTTTGCTCTACTCTTGTTTTAGAGATTATTACTAGCAGAATGCATGCCCTTAGGCATATTACCTACACAACACTCAGACAGGTTTTTCAGGTTATATGACCAAGACAACACAATGCCACCACCATTGTGACAGTCCCCTATCTCAGGAGCCTCTATACATATAGGCTGGCCAGCTTCCCATTTATAAAATCCATAATTCATTTATAAAATCCAAAGGCCAATAAATATGGTCCTTCTGTCCATTTCCAGTTCAAATGCTCCCTCATCCTAACAAGGTGGATTCCAGAAATAGATTCTGGTTTTCTTACAGGTCATGATTCTAATCAGTAGTTTCTCTACCTAAATTTTGGGAAAGCAGGAAAAGGTAAATAAATAAATAAATGCCAGATAAAATGTCAGGAGTATGATGTTTCCCCACACCTTCCCTGATAACAAAAGTTAATGGCGATATGACTTCTGTAAGATTTCAAAGGGATGATACTCCTTCAAATCAGTCCCAGAAATGAGAAGTGGGATTTCTGAAAACAGGCCAACTGTAAAATCTCATGATCTATCATTTAAGTTCTCTAAAGACCTCTATATTATGGTCTGTAAATTAGTTTCCGGTGTACTGTATTTTATTTATTTATTTTTTTAAGTTTATTTATCCTTTTTATAATCTCCTCACCCAACGTGGGGCTCAAACTCACAACCTGGAAATCAAGAGTCACGTGCTCTTCCAACTGAGCCAGCCAGGTGCCTCCCTACTTGTATTTTAAACTATAAAAACCGCCATTGAAAATATTCTATAGTTTTCCACTAATTCATATACCATACAAAACAGTTTATATTTCTAGGATTTTACATTAGTTTGGGGATTGGGAGCTGAAGTAAAGGAAGAATGGCTGGGGTGCCTGGGTGGCTCAGTCGGTTGAGCATCTGACTTTGGCTCAGGTCATGATCTCACAGTTCTGTGAGTTTGAGCCCTGCATCGGGCTCTGTGCTGACAGCTTGGAGCCTCCTTCGGATTCTGTGTCTCCCTCTCTCTCTGCCCCTAACCTACTTGCATTCT